CACAGACAGACAGACAGACAGACAGACACACAGACACACAGACACACAGACACACAGACACACAGATAATACATGAACTCTGGTTTTCTGCAGTATAAATAGATAATTCAAAGTCACTTCCTAACCACAATAATGTCATAATGATGGAACATACAGTATGTCATGCCATCTCAGTGTAAGTTCCTCCCATTCATACTTGTATCATGGATCACATGCAAATACAGAAGAGGTGGAGTTGTGTTGCAACATTGCCATCTTAACACTTCTTTGGATGCCTTTGATCGAAGAACCTTCTGTAAGTGAATTATTTCTTGTCTGAAGTGTTCCTCAAACTCTGCCTAAGGGTTTCATTGTCTAGATGTTATGGAATGAAAATTATTCCTGCCTTATACCTGCTTGGTTTGTGAGTTGCTTGTTGGTATGTATTTTTCTTTGGTTAAATTTCTTAGTCTATGGACTTCTTGATGGGAGAGAGCTTACACAATCAGTGATCTTTGTCTTCCTTTTCTTTAGGTGGCATGCAGGCCATTTTTAAGGTGAAAAATTGTAAAGGCCATTCTCCTCCTTTCAAGAACATCATTACCATAAGAAATTATTACATTGCAGCAGTGGAAGAAGAATGGAACTATGCCCCATCTGGAAAAAATTATTTCACGGGAGAACCCTTAATTCAAGATGAGTAAGTGCTGATTTTTAAACAAGTGAACTGGCAGCCATACCATTTTGTATAAATTGTGTTGCCAGCACTTACTAACATCCTTATCTTACCACACCACACCAGACCATACCACACCATATCTATGCATTCAGAAATGTTAGTCCTGGCATCAGCTCCTGGTATACTAATAGCAGAGGGAACCTTGTGCTTGAACTGACATTATGAGGCTCTTTTTATTTTCCTGTAATGATTGCAGTGAGGCTGTCAGACCTTAGTAGAATTTGGCCTTTGCTATGTGGCCATAGGACTGCCAGTATATTGATGATAGTCCTGGCTGTATTATGTGTTTTGGGGCTGGCTGGTGTTTTGCTGGAAGAAACTATGGGACAGTGCTTCATAAATCATGGTCTGTGGTTAAGGCTAGCTCAGAATCCTGGAACAGGGATACTATTGAGATTGCCAGGTGGTTCCAGTGATTCTGTAATTGATGAAGACTGTCTGATAGGTTCTCCTGTATATTGTGCAAAATTAGAATGGCAATTCTTAACTACTTTTGGAATGCTGTTACTGCCAGTTCTGCTATGGCTACGGTGACCATACATCCTTTTTTTAAAAGGTCAGTCCTTTATTTTAGAAATCTGTCCTTTAGATTTATTTATTTTTCAAAAACTCACTTCTGTACTTTATTTTGGTCATTTAACTTTTACAATACAAATGGTGCCATTTAATACACAGTCTTTCACATTTGTGTGAAAAATACAGAAATTGAATTGTCTTTTCAAAATAAATTTATATATACCATTCGATTTTAGATATTTTTATTAGAATATGTGATTTTGGTTTTCCTCTTGATTTTTCCTTTGTAAAGCAAAGTTATAAAAATAAACAATTAAAAAAAATCCTTATGAACCTCTTTTGGATTTGCCCCCTTTTCAGGTTTGTCCTTTTTTTTTTTCTAAGAAATTATAGTCACCATAGCTATAGCCAAGATACCTCAGCAGGGATACCTCAAATATTCAGCTGCCCTGTTTGGGAGGGGAAGGGAAGGGGGCAGTAGAGCTGGAAGCAGAAGGGAAGACTATCTGTGCATTTGTGAATACATAGGTGTGGTGTGGTGTGGTAAGGTAAGGCAAGGTAAGATACAGCTATGTGAGAAATATTGTTTTGAGGAGGAGGCAACCATTGTGAAGTGTCCCCACAGCACCCACTTTGAGGCAATGACCACATGTTTTTTCCCCCCCAAATTTCAAATGTTTCTATAGGATTAGAGAACACATTCTAACCACATTGCCACACTGGCTGTTCATATAATTTGTACTAAACTACCCCCCCCCCCTTTTCTTCAATTGGATAATATCTAGATGTATTGAACTCTCATTTCATGAGCTGGAGATCATTGGAGCTGTAATCCAATGTATGTATCTAGTTAGGTGTTTTGCCAATTGTCAAAGCCGTGGCCAGGTGCAAGATAAGTGGTTCTTGTAGTTCTTTTAGATCCAGAAACAATGAACACACCACTAGGTAAGGAGATGTTAAGCTTTATTGTTAACTCTAGCAAACAGATTTAAACAGGAATATAGGAATTAGCAGATAGCATTAAACAGAAATACAAAGGCATAATATAAAAGCATAACATATCAAGCAAGATGATAAAATTCTTCCCTACTGTCGGGAACTACCATAAGGCAACAGTGGAGAGACCCCAAGATGGCTTAGATAACAGAGCGCCTAGTCCTAAAACCTGTGTCCTTGCTCCAAATTCCAGGGGCAATGCCAGGGCTTTTTATTAAAGTCTAGCACTGCAATCCCGTCACTCTGTTTTGCAGTCAGGGGCTTTGAACGTGAGCTTGACCGGATGTTATATCTGCTCATCAAAAGATTCCAGAGCCGGGGAACCGTGTATATATATTCCCCGTATATTCCCCGTGTATGTATGTATGTATGTATGTGTGTATGTTTACACACAGTTTACAGAAAGGATAAAATCAATTAAAAT